CAGGCGTATTTCAGGCGACAAATGACAGTAGACGGGGCGAATAGCCTAAAAGTAAATAAGGCCGCTTGATTATATGAAAAAGATGGAGAAAAAGAAGAAGAAATTTAATTTTAAAAAGTTAGAAATTTGAGTTATTTCAGGGTTTTTTTAATTATCTACCTAGACAAATTCTAGGCAAATTTTAAGCATATTCCAAACGTGTTCCAGGCGTATTTCAGGCGTATTCTAGGCGTTTTTAAGGCGTATTGCAGACGTATTTTAGGCGTATTTCAGGCGACAAATGACAGTAGACGGGACAAATAGCTTAAAAGTAGATAAGGCCGCTTGATTATATGAAAAAGATGGAAAAGAAGAAGAAATTTAATTTCGAAAAGATAGAAATTTGAGTTATTTTTTCAATTATCTACCTACACAAATTGTAGGCGAATTTTAAGCATATTCCAGACGTGTTCCATGCGTATTGCAGGCGTATTCTAGGCGTTTTTACATAATAATTACTCGCTTAATTTAAATGGAACACCCTATATTAATAATATCCAATGGGAAGACTATTTCTTACTGAATCATTTTTCATAACATTTCCCTATACCTAACTGTCACCGTTTCCGAGATATTTTCAGTTTTACTAAAAAATCTCCAGTTTTTGATATTATAATTTCATTTTGATCTAATCACCCTGTATAGAAAATTCGCTAATTTCCAATTAGAATGGCTGAAAAAACACGATTAGGGCGCGATTTCGTGCCGTTTAAGGGCGAGTGCAAATATTTCCCCCCAACCCCTCAGCCCCCCGACTAAATATAGTATCGGATTTGTGCAAATATTGTCGAAACAAACAGAGCACTCTCTGTGTGTACACAAAAGGGACGAGCGAGTGAGAAACAGGGGTGAACGAGTAGAGGAAGAAAAAATAATAATAAAACGCTCCGGAAAACTTCGGAAAAACCTTTTTTCTCGCGAACGATTCGTCCGCGGGAATCCCGGAAAATTAATCGGCGATATCCGGTTAATTTCTATTAGGTATACAGCCATTATTTGTAATAAATAGATTAATTTTCTATCAATTGATTTACTCAGTTAATGTCAGTTGAAAATCGCCTGGGATACGCCTGAAATACGCCTTGCAAACGCTTAGAATACGCTTGAAATACGTCTGAAATAATACTTCCAGAATACTTCTGAAATACGCCTTAACAACGCCTGAAATACGCCTTAAAAACGCCTAGAATACGCCTGAAATACGTCTGAAACATGCCTAAAATTTGCCAGAAATAAACATGAAATAGTTTATAAATGTGTAATGAAATGTTCATATATTGTGCCATAAAATTTTTGTGTAATGTTCATATTATATTCATATAATGTTCTTATAATGTTCATGTGAAATTCATTTCTGTAAGTTTCATATAATATTCGTGTAATGTTTAAATAACGTTCATACAATGTTCATTTATTGTTCATACATGATTAGGGTAGTGTTAGGATCATTTACGATTCATTTTTACTCAGAAACTCAGTAAAACAGAAGTGTAATAAATTATAATGTGCCAAATAATGATTTAGATAATGATTTAGAACAATCTAAATTTCATTTATGATTCGAAACGGAAATAATTTCAGTAAATTTCCACGATGTTCATACATTTTTCTCAGTTAATTTTTGATTTTCTAAGTTAATCTCAGTTAAAAATCGGCTGAAAATACGCCTGAAATAGGCCTAGAATTTGTCAGAAATAAACATAAAATAGTTTATAAATGTTTCATATAATGTTCTTATAATGTTCATATAAAGTTCATATAAAGTTCATATAAAGTTCATATCTATTAAGTTCATATAATGTTCTTATAATGTTCATATAAAGTTTATATAAAGTTCATATAAAGTTCATATCTATTAAGTTCATATAATGTTCTTATAATGTTCATATAAAGTTTATATAAAGTTCATATAATGTTAATTTAATGTTCTTATAATGTTCATTTATTGTTCATACATGATTAGGGTGGTATTAGGATCATTTACGATTCATTTTTAGAAGTGTACATGGTAATTTATTTCCAAAAACTCAATATAACACTAGAAGTGAAAATATAATGTTCAAGATAATGATTTAGAACAATCATACAGTTCATTTACGATTCGAAACGAGAATAATTCGAGTAAATTTCCACGATGTTCGTGCATTTTACTGTTCGAGATGAGTTTATAATGGCGCAAATAACACCAATCACTATACAGGGTATAGTTGAAAAGTGACTAAATTGGCTAAATTTCCCTTTCTATAATTATTCGAAACAACAACGATTTCCTCTCTCGAGTTTGGGGTTGGAGAGACATTCCAAGGAGACGTAATATCCTCCCCATTATACACGAACATTATATAATATGCATGTATACAGGGTGGATACTACAAATGGAATAAATATTCATTATTTCGGTTACTGTAAATATTTATAAAAAAATCCCGAAACACGTCAAATTTTTATTATAATTTGACATTTGGCAATGTCAAAATGTGAGCTCTATCTTCAACCCCCTTCGAATGACAGTTACAACCCCTATTTTTTTTAAATGGGAAGTATATGCTTGTGATATATCGTTTGAAAGGTCGCTTCATTTTCTATCCAAAAATGTTATTATTTTCTAAATTATTTCAAAAATTAACATTAAAAAAATAAAATGTTATTTCCCGTTTTAGGCTTAATAATAAGACTAGTTTGTTTAAAGGGTTTTAAAAAATTGGTTTGTAACTACAACTGAATAAGAGTAGTTGTTAGTGTTATAATTTTTGTTTGAATTTCGTTAATTGCAATTAAAAAAAATTGTTAGATTAACAGAAATGCATAAAATAACAATTTTCGTGAGGAGATTCAATTTTTTTTTCATTATGAACAATTAGATATTACATACTGAGTGATTATATCGAATTTAAGCAATCAGATGATTTTATTTTTATTTTAATTTTTGAAAAAAACATGAAATTAATAACAGTTTTGAATAGAAAATAAAGAAACCTTTCAAACGATATATCACAAGCCCATACTTTCCATTAAAAAAAATAGGGGTTTATAATAGTTCTTCGAAGGGGTTGAAGATATTCCATTTGGCGTGTCCACCCTGTATGTACACATCCTGACATTTTATGGGAATGTGGGCGCTTCCTGGAAATTCTTGAAATGTTCCTTCGCTAATTTCCAGGGCTGTTTCCAGGCCAGGGATGAAATCATTATTGTTTCTCTCTCTGTATTACGGATGTACGAGGTGATTTAGAAATTTGTAGAATCAGAGAGTTTTTTTTGCAAAATTTTTTGAAAATTTTGGGTAATTCGAAAATGATAGAGAAACGATTTTTTTTCTACTGATGAATTATTCGAAAATTTCGGCGTTTCTGTAAGAAGTAGGAAAGAGTAGAAAGGAGTAGGAAGGAGTAGGAAGGAGTAGGAAGGAGTAGGAAGGAGTAGGAAGGAGTAGAAAGGAGTAGGAAGGAGCATACTAAATATTTAATTAGCTAAAATAAAATGTCCTTGATCCTTGATGAACCTTTCATATAAAAATAGAGAAAAACGACTATTAAAAAAAATCTGAAATTTTCACGAAAAATTTGTGAACCAAAGAAAAATGAGAACCACCCTGTATAAACAAATCCTCGAGCCCATTTAGGAAAAAAACAAAACAAAAAAAAAAACACCAATTATTTCACAAAATTACTCGAAAACGTCGACTCATTACAAAGCAAACAAGCACCGCTCAAAACATACGCGCCTCTACGCTCCAAATTCCCCGCTCTATAACGAGCAGAGACTGGCTCACTTTAGTTTATACAGGGTGAACCGTTTTTGCAAATAAATTAATTTATTAGTTTTCTCAATTAATGTTTGTATCGATAAAATGCCCCAAAATAGGTCAATTTTGTGTTTTTAATCGAATTTAATCACTTTAAATTTTTCATCCCCTAATTAAAAAACAACCCCTAATTTTACGAATTCGAAATATAGGCTTGTGACACCTCTTTTTAAAGGTATTTTAAATCTCTATTCGAGTGTATAATTTTTTTCATTCTGTAACTTACTTACGTTTAAATAATATTAGAAATTTGAGTTATACAATAATTATTGATAAAACGAATTTATTCATTTTACAAACACGATCCACCCTGTATAAATGCAATGTAATGTACGAGAGTAGATTAGATAAACGAGCCGAGGTTGCGGTCGAGTTTCCATCCTGCTCAAAGCTCTCTCGGCTCTTTTCCCGGGCTTACATTCGCCCTCTCTATACCTGTTTATACACGTATTATACAGGGTGTCTCATAAGTTGATACTTTTTTTTAACTGCGTATAGATCAGTTAATTCTAAGCAACTTTTTCGAGTAATTTTTTTTTAATTCGATGAAAAGGCGGTTGAAGGATAGAGGTGGGTTACGTTACCAGTTCCAAAATAACCGGTTATTTTGTCGCTGTTTAGTAAATTGGGGGATCGTAGAGATTTTTAGAGTTTTTTATGGTAGTATCGGTATTTTCTCATAAAATGGTTAAAATTGCGTTTAAGGAATAGAGGTGGGTCACGTTATACGATGCAAAATAACTGGTTATTTAGTAACTGATTAGAAAATTGGAGGAATGGAGGAATGTGAAGGTTTGTTTGAAAATTTTTGTATCGTTAGAGCGAATAAGTATTTTACAAAAATTCTTTAAAATGGCGGTTAAAGTGTAGAGGTGGGTTACGTTATCAGTTCTAAAATAACCGGTTATTTTGTCACAGTTTAGAAAATGCATTGTTTATTAGAATTGAACACGTTACACGTTCTAAAATAATTAGTTATTTTGTCACTGTTTAATAATAGAGGTTTAGGAAGCTTTATTGGACAATTTTTGTATCGTTAGAGAGGGTATTATTTTTATTAATTTCTGTATTTTTACCGAAATTAGCTAAAATGGTGGTTAAAGAATAGAGGTGGGTTAAGTTAATCGTTCCAAAATAACCGGTTATTTTGGAGAAAATGACTTATAAATTAGACGAATTTGCTACAATTTGCTTGTGTGAGCATTTTAAATTAAGAATAGAGGTGAATACGTTAATTGCTTCAAAGTAACCGGTTATTTTGTTACTGTTTAGAATGGAGGATTATGAAGCTTAATTTGTTATCGATTAATTTTCCCACAAATTCGTTAAAATGGCGGTTAAAGAATAGAGGCGGGTCCGTTACCTGTTCCAAAATAACCGGTTATTTTGTCACAGTTTAAAAAATTCCATCAAATCCTAAACGATAAATTTCTAATCGTTATTATCACGAAACAACCCCTCTTTTTAGGGGTACAATAACACATTTTAAGCGAATAATAAATTAACGAACGCCCTGTATAAAAATTTTACGACGCGCGCGTAAAACGGAAATTCTTATCGAGAAATATCGAAAATAAAACTATTTTTTTTTGTCATCCCCTTTCACGATCGAGCGCATAAAATTTTATTACGGCGAAATTCCCCAAACTATTTTTACAACTAAATATAACCCGATTTTGATGTTTCGTATGATAATAAAACAATCCGGCCGAGCGAAAGTTTTCCACCGGAGGAATCCGGGATTACCCGGAATATATGTATCTATAGTTTGAACAGTTCAAGGGTACATTCAAGGGTATTAAACTCCGTTCGAATAAATTAACCCCGTGTCAATTCGGAGTAGAAACGGGGCGGGTTTTTTTTTTCATCCCTCTCCCATCTCTATACCGATATTCTCAATTAGAACTGTCGATAAAGTTGGATCGAATAACCGCAACAGCTGAGGCCTGTTAGTGAAAGACGTGAAGTACGTGTACGTCATCTGTCAAAATTTGTTTTGTGCCGGTAAAAGAGCTAACTTCACGCTTGTTAATTGGGAGTAAATAGTAGTAGAAAAAAAAAGAAGAATTGAAAGAGTTTCATGTAAACTTGTAAAATTCGTTAGGCTGAATAACCGCAACAACTGAGGCCTGTTACCTGTCAAAATTTATTTTGTACCGGTGAAAGAGCTAACTTCACGCTCGTTAATTTATTATCGAGTAGGCTAAATGGAAATAAATGGTATTTTTTATTTGGAAAAATAAATGAGTAACGTCGAATTTGAAATTGCACAAAATGCGGAAATATCGCGAAACGTCAATCGATAAAAAAAACATAAAACATAAAACATTCGCGCTTTTAACGCAAATTAAATTATTTACAATCGCGCAAAAAATGGCGATTTCGAATGTAAAATTTCACCGTATTTAGGTGAAAAAAAATATAAAAATGTTTAAGTAAATTTTGGATAAATCTGGAAAAATATGGATATAAATGTGAATAAATTATAGATGAATCTGGATAAATCTATAAAAATCTGTATAAATCTAGATAAATCTGGATATAAATCTAAATAAATTGGGAAAAATCTGTATAAATCAGAATAAATCGGGATAAATAGAGATAAATCTGTATAAATCTGGATATAAAACTGATAAATCTCTATAAATCTCTATAAATCTCTATAAATCTATTTAAATCTGTAAAAATCTGTAAAAATCTGGATATAAATATGAATAAATCGGGATAAATAGAGATAAATCTGTATAAATCTGGATATAAAACAAAATAAATCTCTATAAATATGTAATAATCTGTACGAATCTGTATAAATCTGAATATAAATCTGAATAAATCGGGATAAATAGTGATAAATAGTGATAAATCTGTATAAATCTGTATAAATCTCTACAAATCTCTACAAATCTCTATAAATCTGTAAAAATTGGTATGAATCTGGATAAAAATCTGAATAAATCGGGATAAATAGAGATAAATCTGGATATAATACTGAATAAATCTCTATAAATCTCTTTAAATCTGTATAAATCTGTATGAATCCTTATAAATATGTATAAAATCTGTATAAATCTGTATAAATCTGGATATAAAACTGAATAAATCCCTATAAATATATTTAAATCTGTAAAAATCTCTGTAAGTCTGTAAAAATCTCTATAAATCTGTAAAAATCTGTATGAATCTGTATAAATCTGGATATAAATCTGAAGAAATCGGGATAAATAGAAATAAATCTGTATAAATCTGGATATAAAACTGAATAAATCTCTATAAATCTATTCAAACCTGTAAAAATCTCTATAAATCTGTAAAAATCTGTTTGAATCTGTATAAATCTGGATGTAAATCTGAATAAATCGGAATAAATAGAGATAAATCTGTATAAATCTGGATATAAAACTGAATAAATCTCTATAAATCTATTCAAATCTGTAAAAATCTGTATGAATTTGTATAAATCTGGATATAAATCTGAATAAATCGGAATAAATAGAGATAAATCTGTATAAATCTGGATATAAAACTGAATAAATCTCTATAAATCTATTTAAATCTGTATAAATCTTTATAAATCTGTATGAATCTCTATAAATCTGTATAAATCTGTATATAAAACTGAATAAATCTCTATAAATCTATTCAAACCTGTAAAAATCTCTATAAATCTGTAAAAATCTGTAAAAATCTGTATGAATCTGTATAAATCTGGATATAAATCTGAATAAATCGGAATAAATCTATTCAAATCTGTAAAAATCTGTATGAATTTGTTTAAATCTGGATATAAATCTGAATAAATCGGAATAAATAGAGATAAATCTGTATAAATCTTTATAAATCTGTATGAATCTTTATAAATCTGTATGAATCTCTATAAATCTGTATAAATCTGTATAAATTTCTATAAATCTGGATAAACCTCAAAAAAACCTGCATAAAACCGCATAACAATCTCCCCAAAAATCGAACGAAACGAACCAACCAGCGCCCGCTTCTACTATATATAATAACCACTTCGCCCCTTTTCCAGAAATGCCTCGTCACCAACATGAACAACACCGACACCTTCCAATGGCCGTTCCAAAACGCCACCTTCTACTACAACAACACCAACAACAACAACAACAACAACGCCGACAACTGGACCGCCAACCACACCACCGACTACCTCGACGCCTGGTCCAAATGGACCGAACTGATCCAGGACAGGGCCGTCGTGGTGACGTTGCTGTTGCTCTTCTCCATGTGCACGGTCTTCGGCAACATGCTGGTGATCCTGGCGGTGATCCGCGAACGCTACCTGCACACGCCCACCAACTATTTCATCACCTCATTGGCCGTCGCCGATTGCCTGGTGGGGCTGGTGGTGATGCCGTTCAGCGCCCTCTACGAGGTGCTCGGCCACACGTGGTTCTTCGGAGCCGATTGGTGCGACGTCTGGAGAAGCCTGGACGTGCTGTTCAGCACCGCTTCGATACTGAATCTATGCGTTATCTCATTGGATAGATACTGGGCGATCACCGATCCCATAGCCTACCCCATGAGGATGACCAAGCTGCGTTCGATCTTCCTCATAGCAGCCGTTTGGGTGTGCAGCAGCGCCATATCGTTTCCGGCGATCGGTTGGTGGAGAGCGGTGAGGAACGCTCCGATACCGGCCTTCACCTGCCCCTTCACCGAGCACCTCGGCTACCTCATCTTCTCGTCCACCATCAGCTTCTATCTGCCGCTGTTCGTGATGCTGTTCACCTACTTCAGGATCTACAGGGCGGCGGCGGCGCAGACGAGATCCCTGCGATTGGGCACCAAGCAGATCCTGCTGGGCTCCGGCGAGCTGGAGCTCACCTTGCGCATCCACCGAGGCGGTACCTGCAAAGCACCAGGACCGGCTGAGTCCAGGTTGTACTCCACGCAGGAGGACGAGCCGCTGACGGCGTTGCAGGACAACGGATTGACTCGTTTGGCATCGACTCGGCTGAATTCGGCGCACAGCAAGAACTTCTCGTTGAGCAGGAAGCTGGCGAAGTTCGCCAAGGAGAAGAAGGCGGCGAAGACGCTGGGTATCGTGATGGGGGTGTTCGTGGTGTGTTGGTTGCCGTTTTTCGTGGTGAATTTGCTGTCGGGGTTCTGCTTGCAGTGCATCAGCCACGAGCGCGTCGTCCTGGCGGTGGTGACTTGGCTGGGTTGGATCAATTCCAGCATGAATCCGGTGATATACGCCTGCTGGAGCAGGGATTTTAGAAGGTGAGTGGTTGGAAATGGTTTTAGCATGTTGATTTGGGGTTTTAGATGATGGATGACTCGGAGATTGGAAGTTTTGATTTGGGATTTTGGCGGGTCTTATTTGAAATGGTGACTATGTTCTAAATACAAGGTCACTCCATGATTGGAGGTTTTGATTTGGGGTTTTAGAAGGTGAATGATTTCAAGATTAGAGGTTTTTATTTGGGGTTTTAGAACGTGAATGATTTTAAGGTTTGAGGTTTTTATTTGGGGTTTTAGAACGTGAATGATTTTAAGGTTTGAGGTTTTTATTTGGGGTTTTAGAAGGTGAGTTTAGAAGATTTTAGAAGTTGCGATTGGAGGTTTTGATTTGGGATTTTCGAGGTTTTATTTGAAATGGTTTTAACATGTTCTAAATAAAAGGTGACTCTAAGATTGGAGGTTTTGATTTGGGGTTTTAGAAGGTGAATGATTTCAAGATTGGAGGTTTTTATTTGGGGTTTTAGAAGGTGAAAGATTTCAAGATTGGAGGTTTTTATTTGGGGTTTTAGAAGGTGAATGATTTCAAGATTGGAGGTTTTTATTTGGGGTTTTAGAAGGTGAACGATTTCAAGATTGAGGGTTTTTATTTGGAGTTTTAGACGGTGAATGATTTAACGAATGGAGGTTTTTATTTGGGGTTTTAGAAGGTGCATGACTCCGAAATTGGAGGTTTTGATTTTGGGATTTTGGGGACTTTAAAAATGGTTTTAGCATGCTCTAAATAGGAGTTCTTATAAAGAGATGTAAAGGGTTCTGGGGTTTTTTATAGTTCGGATAGTTCAAATCGTTCAAATGTCCGAATGATTGACTAAATGATTCATCAAATGACTGTTAAAATAACTGTCTAAATGATTTACTTAATGAATAATCAAATGATTTACCTACCAAATGATTGATCAAAAAAAGAGTTAAAATAACTGTCCAATTGATTTACCAAATGATTTACCAAATGATTCACCAAATGATTTACCAAATGATTTACCAAATGATTTACGAAATGATTCACCAAATGATTTCCCAAATGGTTTTCCAAATGATTTACCAAATTATTCACTAAATAATTGATCAAATGACTGTCAAAATAATTGTCTTAATAATTTCCATATGATTCACTACATGATTGATTAAATAATTGACCAAATAACAGTTGAAATAACCGTCCAAATGAATGCCAAAATCACTGTCCAAATGATTGTCCAAACGACTGTCCAAATGAATTCGGACAGTTTTAAATAGTTATAAGATTGTCCTAAACTATATCAAATCCTCTCATACGAATAATCTGTTATAAAACAGAGTACAATACTTGGTTGCACTGTTGCCACGTCGTAATTTTATCCGAAAATCCGGATAAAAACGCCCTCTCTAGCCGGAAAAGTCTCGGCGACACATTTGCTCCGGGGAAAAGCTCGGAACTAACGACACGCGGAGAAGAAAAAAAAACAAAGAGAAAAAAAAAAAAAAAAGGAAAACTCGCCGCCCGGAAGAGCGAACGAAACGGTTTTCCTCGAGAGACAAAAAGTCGACAGAAAAAAAAAACAAAAAAAAAAAAGAAACAACCGGGTTTAACAATTGCGTTTAATTAAATTTATTCGTCGGCTAGTTGGAAAATTTAATTTCTGTACGAATTTAAAATCACGCCGGGATCAAAAATAGTGAAACCAACAAAAAATAAACCCAAAAAAAATCGGGAAACTTGGGAAAATCGGGCACGTTTTAATAAATTCTATACAGGGTGTACACTTGATAATAATTGACGAGTAACATTTCGACAAATGACATTGTGACAAGTGACATTGTGACAAGTGACATTGTGACAAGTGACATTGTGACAAGTGACATTGTAACAAGTGACATTGTAACAAGTGACATAGTAACGAGTGACGAGTGACAAGTGACAAGTGACAAGTGACATAGGGACAAGTGACATAGTGACAAGTGACATAGTGACAAGTGACATAGTGACAAGTGACATTTTGACGCACAGTGACGTATTAGACAGACGACAGAGTAGTCGAATGGTGTATCGATCCTGCTCGGGTTATATAGTCAATTTAACTGTCGTTGGAAAATCTCGATTTATATCGGGAATAAAATATCGTTCGATTGGTCATCAATCAGAACTAGCCGGGGCCGTTCCGATTTTATATTTATCGTATACGCCCCGGAAAAATAATTCGATAAACTCCGGCGTATCGGAAAAGTTTTCCCTCCGAGTTCGGGCTCGTTCTTTTCGTTAAGTTAATGATAAATATACGGGCGGGTTATTTTTTTTTTTTTTCTCAATCGTTCCGGCTCGTCGGGGGAAGTTTTCAAGTTCATATATCAACGGAACGTCCGCGTAATTATTTCCGGTTCCGGTTTTAGGACCGATAAAACGTCAATAAATAGATAAACCCCAAAAAAAAATTTTGAGAAATAAACAGCACTGTAAACTATAGATACTATATAAAATCACTTGTCATAACTGTCAACAATGTCACTTGTCAAAATGTCACTTGTCGCAATGTCACTTGTCGCAATGTCACTTGTCGCAATGTCACTTGTCACAATGTCACTTGTAACAATGTCACTTGTCACAACGTCACTTGTCAAAACGTCACTTGTCACAACGTCACTTGTCACAACGTCACTTGTCACAATGTACAAAGTCGCGGATAGGTTGATTCTCTTTTTTTTTGTTATTGTAATTCCAAAGTTGGCTGCGGGTGTAAAAATTCCCCGGCAAACAAAACCCTCGTCACGGGGTAGTTTGTTTTATTTTCAGTGGAAACCACCCCCTTTCTCTCGACGCTTGTCGCATTTGTTAAGTGGAAGTTTCTCCAGTAAATTTTTGCCGCCATTCGTTAGAGTTTTTTTTGTTGTTTTTTTTTGTTTTTTTGATATATTTTTTTATTAGTACTCGAATCGTAGCAGGCGGGCTTCGAATTAAAATCGAATTTTATAGTATACGGGGGGCGGCGGGGGGGTTGTTTTTCGTCGCGAGCGAGGAATTTCTCGGGGTAGTTTTTTTTTATTGTGTTTTTTTTTCGTTTGGGAATTTTCTTTGTGTTTTGCGCGCTTTTCTCGCGTTCGATGTTCGATGATCGATCGAGATTCGTGTTTTTTTTTTCTTTCGCCTGTTGAAAGGATGTAATTTAATAGATAATTCTAATTGATTTTTGCGTGTTTTTTGTTAGAAGAAAATTTGTTTTCAAAAACGAAGGGAAAACGTCAAAAAAATATTTTTAGAACGACCCCGTAGTTTATAAAAAAATACGTTATATTGTTAATTTTAAGTATTTGAGAAAGAATTTTGAAAGAAAGACATTTGAATGACATTTGAATGACATTTAAGTGGCAACGTTTGAGTGATATTTGAATGACATTTGAGTGACATTTGAGTGACATTTGAGTGACATTTGAGTGACATTTGAGTGACATTTGAGTGACATTTGATTGACATTTGAGTGACATTTGAGTGACATTTGAGTGATTTTAAAGTAAGAGTTAAGTGTATATTTGAGTGATGTTTGAATGACATTTGAGTGGCATCATTTGAATGAAATTTGAGTGATATTAAAGTGAGAATAAGGTGTATATTTGAGTGATATTTGAATGATATTTGAGTGATGTTTGAATGGCATCATTTGAGTGGCATCATTTGAGTGGCATCATTTGAGTGGCATCATTTGAGTGATATTTGAATGACATTTTAGTAATATTTGAGTGATTTTAAAGTGGGATTAATGTGTACATTTGAGCGATATTTGAATGATATTTGAGTGATGTTTGAATGACATTTGAGTAACATTTGAGTGATTTTAAAGTGGGATTAATGTGTACATTTGAATGATATTTGAATGACATTTGTGTAACATTTGAGTGATTAATGTGTACATTTGAGTGACATTTGAATGATGTTTGAGTAATGTTTGAATGACATTTGGGTGGCATCAGTTCAGTGATATTAAAGCGAGATCAAGGTGTACATTTTAATGACATTTTAGCAACATTTGAGTGACATTTGAGCATCAAAAATTTCGTATAATTGGAACACACTGTACATAATATTTTTCCCATGGGCGATTCGATTTTTCTAAAAAAAAAAATAATACTAAAAACTCGAGCTTTCGACTGGAATGTATTTCCCTTTGAGCGGCTCAACAATAAACCCGCCTCCCCGAGAAACCTCCAGCGGGTTTGAGGCAACTGCAGCGCCCCCTCGGATCGGAAAAAGGGTTCGACTCCGTCCGGATTTGCTTGTATAACGAAAATATATTCCCTTTTATTCATTATATTTTTCTATTCATTTCTCAGCCCGGCGTCTTCGAGAGGCTTAGGATATACAGGGTGTTGGTTAGACGATCGGTAGATTTAGTAGATTGGAATTGATCGTTGATTGATCGTTTAAAAGCGGTTTTGGAGCGGTTTTGAAGCGGTTTTGGAGCGGTTTTGGAGCGGTTTTGGAGCGGTTTCGGAGCGGTTTTAGAGCGGAATTAGAGTAGTTTTGAATTTTTTTAGTACGGTTTTAGAGCTGTTTTAGATAGCTTTTATTTATTATATTTTCCCTATTCATTTCTCAGCCCGACGTCTTCGAAGGGCTTTGGATATACAGCGTGTTGGTTAGATGATCGTTTAAGAGCGGTTTTGAAGCGGTTTGGAAGCGGTTTTAGAGCGGTTTTGGAGCGGTTTTGGAGTGGTTTTGGAGCGGTTTTAGAGTGGTTTTGGAGCGGTTTTAGAGCGGGGGTTGAGCGGTATTGGAAATTATAAACTATTGTCTACTTTAAAAATCTAGTAGGAATGAATTCTTTCAAAAACTTGACATTTCGATAAAATCTACTCGCTCCCAAAATTTCTCCATTTATTTCAGAAACACCCTGTATATTATTCGAGGAAATCTCAGCAATTGAAAACCGCTAATTGCACCCTCGGTTAAAAAAGATTCTCGGGGTTTCACCCGGATTAAAAAAGAAATAATAACGGGATAAACGAAAAGGGTTG